AAAAAGATGATAGCAATAGATGGATAAATCCAAGTAAAAAATTTAAATCGAATTCAATGATCGAACTTAAAAAGATGCTATGTAAAACTCATTAACTCTCATAATCGATTTCATGGCATGGTTCAAAACTTTGTAACCAAATCATTTTTTGTAAAAATACACATTCATCAAAATAATCCATAAAAAAACTAAATTTGCTCTTTAATTTCAAATTTACTTTGATATTTTTTTAAAAAATCACTATTTAAACACTTTTTTATAAGATAACAAATGAAACATTTAAGCAATTTCCTTGTTGAGATAACCAAAAAATATTGAACTAAGACATGAAAAATAAAAAAACTCATGTCCCATGTCTTCTAGGTTATATTTTTAGTTGTATATATAATCACATGTAATTCGATTTATTAGTCATTGATTCATAAAAACCCAAGTCTTAATGCTAATGAAGTATTATCAAGTATGGCTAGGAAGAAATTTGCAAATGAGATTTATGAGATTTTGACAAAGTTATACGAGTCCAAGTCTTTTCATAATAAGATCATTTTAAACATGAGATTTTATACCCTACGAATGGTAGAAACCATGTTGGTGACTAAGCACGTCAACATAATAAAAACTCTATTTTCATAGCTCATTATATTAGGTTAGCAAATAGAGAAAAATAAATGTGCAAAACTTATACTTCAAAGTATTCATTATTAATATGACCAATAACATCTTAACAAATTATGTTGTTTTTAATGATGTCGCAATCACTTTCTTAGAAAACGTCAATAAGTGTAAGAACAAAAGAGATAAAATTAACAATTCACTCCAAACAAAGACATTATTAATGTCAAGAGAAAGATCAGTGTAGTGTGGTTTCAATAGGATTTGAAGGCCAGAAAGTTCCAAATTAAGAAGTAAAAGGATTATGAAATATTACTACTCTAGCAAAAAAAAAAAAAAGACACTTTAAAAGGGATTGCTAAAATAAAAAGGGTATGTAGAACAACTCTAAGTCATCAAAACCTCATGGATGTGTTATAAACACTTTAAATGATTAAGAAGTTTTATATAGTAAAGCAGTGAAAATCTTTAAAAATAGAATAAAACTCATTGAGGTTTTGGTTAATGGATTCAAAAGCAACAAGGCGTATGACTCCTCATCAGGATTGGTTTTATACATATGATCATGCCTTAGAGTTATTGGCATTGGCATCATTAAATTAAAAATATAGAATGGCTCAATTCATATTATTATAGAAGTATGACTTATGAAAGGCTTGAAGAAGAATATTTTATCTGTGGAACAATTTGATAATTTTGGTTGTAAAATTCATCTAAACAATGGTATTATAAAAATTATCAGAGGGGCACTAGTGGTATCAAAAGCTAGAAAAATAATTGCAAACTTTTTTATATTAATAAAAGAAATATATCATGAAGCAGATGCATCAATTGCATCATTAAGTTCTATAAAAGAAAAGACGGTAATGTGGCATCAAAAGCTAGGCCATGTGTTAGAGAAAAGCTTGAAAATTCTTTCTAATAAAAGTTATTTCTTGGTCTCACAAAGGTTTATTTACCTTTTTATGAGTATTGTAATACAAGTAAATAGCATAAGTTGAAGTTTGGCATATCAACAATTAAGAGTAAATGCATTTTATACTTGATTTATTCTGATGATTGGTAAACATCGATTATATCCATGGGATAAGGAAGATACTTTGTATCATTCGTAGATGACTTTTCTAAGAGATGTTGGGTATATCCAATCAAAAGTAAGCAAATATGCTCTCATTTTTTAAAACATTTAAAGCACGGGTAGAACTAGAAGCTGAAAAGAAAACCAAGTTTCTGAGAATAGATAATGAAGAAGAATATATTAGTGATGAATTTGATAACTTTTATTAATAAAAAAGTATCAAAAAGTAATTCACAATAGCATATGCTCCAAAAAAATAGAGTGGCAGAGTAAATAAATAAAACTTTGTTTGAACAAACAAGAACAAAGTTAAAGGTTGCAAGCTCAAATAATCTATATTGGGTAAAAATAATCAAAATCATATGTTATGTTATCAATCTATGTACATCAATTGTGATTGATTAGAAGGCACCAATGGAGATAAGGACTAGGAAACAAGCTAATTATTCTCACTTATATATATTCAGAAGTCTTGTGTTTATGATGCATAATACATAATAAGTTGGAAAATTGAATTCAAAATCTAAAAATATGTATTCTTGGGATATATTTTGGGAGTAAAGCAATATCACCTATAGAATCTCATTGCCTACAAAGTAATCATTAGTAGAGATGTTATATTTGTAGAAGATAAAATGTAAATGGAATAAAATAAAAGCATTTTGAAAAAGACTATAACAATAGTTCAGGTAGAAAATACTCAAGACCGTACTTCTTCCAAAACTGCATCAAAGTATGAAGAAGATGAACAAATAAAGTCTAAAACTCTTGAAGTTCAATGGTCAACCTGTGAGAGAAGACCACTAGATTAGCACTCAAAATATGTTACTAAGAGCAATATTGTATATTATCTTAAAACACATTATGGAGAGTCATTAATTTTCTATAAAGTTATAAAAAATATAGATGTATCTATGTGGATGATAGTAATGCCAAAGGAAATAGAAACTCTACACAAGAGTAAAATTTAGGATCTTATTACTCTATCGTAAGAAAGTAAGGTCATTAGCAATATATGGGTTTACAAGATAAACTATGATGGAAATGATCAAGTGGTACATTATCATGTAAGATTTGTGGTGATAGGATATGCTTGGAAAAAATTGATATATTTTAATAAAATATTTTTCATGGTTGTACAATTAACAAGAATCAAAATAGTCTTAGCAATATGTGTTATATTTAATCTTCATTTAAAGCAATTAGATGTGAAAATTGTATTTCTTCATAAAAAGCTTGAAGAATGAATTTATATGTTTCAACCATAAGGTTTTGCTTAATTAGGCTGGGAGGACTTTGTTTGCATATTGAAAAAATATATATACAATCTCAAACAGTCGCCTAGGTGTTGTTATCTGTTATAATTAGTCTTAAATTTAACAAACTTAGTTCAGACCATCATATGTATTATAAAAAACTTAAAGAAGATGAAGATTTTATTATTTTATTATTGTATATAGATGGCATATTGGTAATGGACTCTAACAAAGATCAAGTTTATAAATTAAAGGTACAGTTGGATAGGGAGTTTTATATAAAAGACCTAAAACTGGGACCAGCAAATAAGATTCTGATGATACAAATTCACTAAGACAAAAAAAAAAAAAAAAAAAAAAAAGGAAAATTTAGATTTCATAAAGAAATTTATTTGAAGAAAATCTTGTGACATTTCAACATGTAAAATTGTAAACTAATTTTAGCCACAATTCCTGATAACTTCAAAGTATCCTCAAGTATTCTCTTAGCAATGAGGTAGAGAATATGGATGTGTCTCGAGTACTATATACATCAGCAATGAAATAGAGAGTATAAATGTGTCTTGAGTACTATATACATCGGCAATGAAAAGTTTAATATTTATCATGATATATACAAGACCAAATATTACATAAACAATAGGAGTAGTTAGTTAATAGATGTCAAATTCTTATGGAGGGCATTAGAATTATATTAAGAGGATCTTGAGATATATCAAGGTATCTCATATGTTATATTATATTATGGAGGATCAAAATTTATTATCAGAGATTATGTTAATTCAAATTTTGCAGACGACTTTGAAAAAAGAAAATTCACTTTAGGCTATATTCAAAATTACAAAAGGAGTTGTGAGATGGGTCTCTAAACTACAAGTTATTGTAGTTTTATCCATAACAGAAACTGAGTATGTGGCAACTATCCAAACTTGTAAGGAAGCATGTGGCTACAAAAGTTTCATGGAGGATCTGAGGCACAAATAAGAGAAGATTATCATGTATTGTGACAATCAGAGTGTTTTGCATATTACAAGGTATCTAGTGTTTCATTTAAAAACAAAACACATAAATACTCAATATTGTTTTATTCATGAAGTAGTGGAAGATAGAACTGCATGCTTTCAAAAAATTCACATCCATAAAAAACCTAGTAGATACTCTAACCCAATTAGTCAATAATGATAAGTACATATGATATAAATTCTCTTATAGCCTAGCAGATTTATAGGCAAAATGAAGATAAAAAATATAAAAAAGATAGAAAAATCATAAATAATCAAATACGAAGACATGATTAAAAATCAAATTCTTCAAAAGAAAAAATATAGAGGGCAGCCTTCATTAAATATTTGGCACTAAAATTTGCCAAATAATTAATAACTTTCAATGCACCATTAATTAATTGTTGGAGTAATATTTGTTTATTGTTATTTTTTTTTTTTTATGAAGAGAGGATAGGATGTCCAACTTATAAATAGGTTGTATATCATGACTTTGGTGCATCATACAAGAAAGAAACATAAGGATAAAGAAAAATAGTAAAATAGAGGAATCTCATTAAACTATGAGGTATATGTAAGAGCATGTGAGGTGTTTATTCCTATTAGCATATAGATTCTTAATTATTTTTCTATTAACAAAGAGTAGTTATAATTTTCACATTATTTAATATAATTTTTTTATACTTGTCTATAGATATAATCAAATTAGGTTGAACTAAATTTTTGTGTGCTTTATTTCTTAGTTTATCTTCTTTTGAGTTACATATTATTGTTTTGAATGTCGAGATCCTAATACTTGACCTTTTTTATGATACCTTTCTTTTGTTTTCCTTCTTTTCACATGCATATTATCATAACGTTTTGAATGTCAAATATTGTATTCTTTTGTCATGTTAGCTTGTTTATTTTAGTTATTTCTATATATTTGTTTTGTTTTTGTGTTATTTGGGAATTTAAATGGTAAAATACTTTTGTACGATATTGTAGTTTTGTTTTCATGTTTGTTGGTGTCGAGCTATGATTTCTAATGTTAAATTTGAATGGAGAGTTGGAATGACACAGGTGATATGAAAAATAGATTTGCAATGTTTAGATTACCTAGGTTTTTTTATTTTTTTGTTGGTTTATGTTGTTTGAAACTCTTGAATTTAAATCCCTGTCCTAACCCCCACTCTTATTTTTCTCTCCTCGCCTTCATGTTCCTGATTGGCACATTCACCTCAAGGTGCCTTTGGTTTCTGCTATATTGCTTGAGGTGTGATTTCTAAGTGCCTCTTTTGGTGCTTTTTGGTTATGCTAGGTTTTACCTATTATTAATGTTGTTGTCTCTTACTCCTCTGTCTACTTTTTTAGGATATTCTGGTGGTGGTCTATGAATGTGATCATGCAATGCCACTACTTAATCATGTCCCCCCTGAGAGTGATTTGTGTTTTTAAGGTTCATCTTGGTAATACGTCTTTCAGCTGATTTTTCAATCCAGTGTATACTCTCAAGGTGCTGGGGTTGCTGGTTTCTCATAGTCTGTATCTCCAGGCACTAGGTTGTCATCTTTTGTTCTCAACTTGTTATGTCCTAGCCATTTGGAATCATCAGCGTCTAGTTTGTTCTAACGGTTATTAGATAAACATTCTGATGCTTGCTCTTCGTGTTATTTTCTTATACTACATCAGTCTCCGCTATAATTTACAAGAGTCTGTGCCTCTTTAGAGCAAGAGATTTCTTCATCTGCTGTTTGTGTCTATTTATATGCATTTATTTACTTAGTTCTTTTCTACAAAATCTAATTTTGATTTAGTTCTTGCCATTGCTTCTGGATCACCAACAGCAGATACATTTCTTGAAAAACTGAACCCCAAGTCAAGGCCTGTTGCGCAGGTGAGTCGGCAATCATCAAAATCTTTGTTGTGTTTTTTTAGTCAAAGAAGTGACTAGCAGGGTCATAGGATTGTGGAACAATCCTAAACGGGAAAGAGAATGATGTAGCATCTAACTTTGAGTTTGTGAGGTGTTTCTTGTTGATTTTATTTTCAGAATAGCTTATGTTGATCGAGGATGAGCTTAGCACCTGAAGTAACAAGCCTCTGAATTTCGTCAAAACGACAACCTTAAGAAACTTTTTATTATGTTGTGTTGTTGTCATGCTACACATTCATTTTCATGATTCGTGTAGCTTAGATAGGTGGCTGGTGCTTACCTTTGATGAGAAGTGATGAATTAGGAATTACCCTCTTGCTTGCTTGCGCAATGAGTGATTCTTATTTTGATTATCCAGGAAATCTTTTCCAGTTGGTTTTACAAGACAGAGCACTTCCAGAAAGTTCATACGAGCACCGGGCTACCCTTCAGCACGATGCTTTTTTCCGACGACGAGGAGAGGAACATTGAATCAGTAAAAACAAGCTTTCAATAGCTGCTTCTTTTCTTCTCTTTTTTGTTTCTGTTAGCAGTTCATGTAACCCCTTTAGGGAAATCTCATTTATTTGAATGGCAGATTTCAAACATGGGAGTAACAAGCATCCTGGTCAAAGATGGGATTCGTCTCGGAGCACAAAGGTGAGGGGCTCAAGGAATTTTCTGAGAAAAACAACCAAAGGTGGTTCAAATTATCACAAAATCCAAATTCATTTGTGACAGACAGGTCAAGATTGAACCCTTTTTTTTAGTACTCAAATGGAACCTAAGATAATGGCATTGAAATTGTTACAGAGGCAAGGACTACACCTGGCAATGTGAAGTGCAGTCCACTGCCAGACAACCGAAACTCATCTCCTATATAAAATCAACCGTAGAAGCCCATTTTATCCATACCAAAAATCAACAGCAGCCCTGTAAAACTTCTAGCTTGTTTTGGGAAGCGCTGATGCAGCGCATAATTATCTATTTGAGTCCTAATCTTTTTTATGTTATCAAATCTACCTCAGATATAATGAATATTAACAATATCACCCTCGACGGGCTCACTAGCAGTGATAGTTTAATTTTTGATCATGTGTTTGTTGAGTGTTTTCATCGAAAGCTTCAAAGTAAACTCTAATATTTCACAATGAAAGATGTTAGCATCAAATGACAATTTTTGTACACGAACAAAAACTGGAAGTCCAGGGACAACAAAGATCAAACTAAGACTATAAAGGTTAATATGACCAAAAACTCAAACACAAGGACTAAGTGAATGTATTTCACCCAACTGCGATGTGTAAAGACAAGGACTAGGAGGTGATGTTATAAACACGTATGAATGCCTGTAACGCGAACTTCACTTATTGTTTTGGATTTGGGTTTGCTGGTTGTGATATGAAAACGACGTGCTCTCTCATTTGATTTATTCTAAAATTATAAATCCCTCTTCTTTAGGAATCGAAGCTTGTCCTCTTCTGCCTTTGTCTCTGTTTCAAGAATTCAATACCACTCGCTTGATTCCATTTCTTTGATATAAGCCCGCTTTCCATCTTTTGGGGTGAGTTTCTTTTCTTATATATGATTGTGAATCGAGGGGTCCTTATTTGATTCATGAGTTTTTGGGTTTTTTTTTTTTTAAGTTGAAAACTTTGCAACTCACAATCAAAATCCTAATTGGGAATATTGTATATAATTCGAAATTTTTCATCTTTTTGGCGTTTGACAGCACAGGAACCAAATGGGTTCTAGTGATTTTGAAAAGTTATTTGCTTTACTTTGATACTGTCATCTTCTTATCCCTTGGATTTATTGTTGACTTGAGAGATCAAATTGTTGACTAGAGAGGATCAAGAGAGCACATTTAGATTTATATAATTTCTTACCAAGTTTGCATTCTTTGCTTTTGATACTTTTTAGGGGATTTTCTGTTGAAAGGGTTTTGAAGGCCACCTCAATTGCTTTTTCTTTTCTTTTCTTTTCTTTTTAATCTGAATTTCTAGTGTTATCTGTAGCAGTAAATATCTGTGATTCACATTATGGCGTTGGCTTATACAATTTTCTTTAACTTTCGGCAGCAACAAGCACAGTTCCTGGCACAGCTAGGACAGTATTGTTGTCTATTGTTAAGCCAATCTGGGAACTTCATTGATTGTATTCAGAAATCTCTGGAATGAAACTCTTAAGAGTGTAATTGCCAAGTTGGTATTGGAGTTAGGTGTACAGGGTAAGGAGGTGAGTTTTCTTAGGGTTGCATGCAAAGTACCATGAGGTTCATATTAAAACAAGCTCCCCTGTTTTGTCTGCTCTCTGTAGTTCTCTTTGCATGCATTTTGGCAGAATCTGATACTGATAATTCTGAAAGGTTAAGGTCGGCTCTGTAGCAAATTGTCAACATTTTTTCTCAACCACCATCAACCACCATCTCCTTTAACAACCACCATCAACCACTTCCAACCACCATTCAACCACCATCAACCACCATCTCCTTTAACAACCACCATCAACCACTTCCAACCACCATTCAACCACCATCAACCACCCTCAACCAAGTTGCCAAGGCTCTCCTATAAATAGAGATAAAGAGAGAGCAATGTAATAAGTGTAGTGAAATTGTGGTGAGAGCAAAAGGGTGAAAGTGTGGTGAGTGCAACTGTGAGAGTGAGAAAATACAGATTTGAGAGAAACACCGAGTGTAAGAGTGAAACACCCGGTTAAGTGGGATTGTACTGGGTTGAGTTGAGTGTTTGTATCATTCCTCCAATAATATACAATCTGCTGCCTCCGTGGACGTACCCGATTTTGGGGAACCACGTAAATCTGTTGTTTGTGTTTTATTTGTGTTTGCTTTTGGTCCAGTATGCGCAACAATTGGTATCAGAGCATTAGGGAAGCTTGAACACTGAAAAAAAAACACCTTTTTCAGCTCTCTGTTCAAAGTTGCAGAATTTTCAAAGTTCTCAGATCTTGATTTTGACCACCTGTGGAGATTCCTCTCGTTGATACGAGTCCGGCGATATAAAGATCATCAAAATCGGAGTTGAAACGAGCCCTGTAGAGCTCGCCGAAGTTTCGCCGGAAATCTCACCTGAGAAGACAGCCACGTCATCCGACACGTTGGCGCTGAGTCACCATCCACGTCATCAACAGAGGGTCCACATTGCCATGTCATCAGACACATCATCTAACAGTGACAGAATATTCTCTTGACAGAATAAGAATATTCCATTGACAGTAAGAGAATATTCCGTGACAGAATATTCTTCATCAGAGACAGAATATTCCTTCCCTGAGTTAACTCGGTCAGATTGATTTTTTGGCCAACTCAGTGATGTTTTGACCGGTTTTAGGCCGAGTCAAGTTGGTTCCTAGCATTTTCAACCATTCCGGACGCAACCGTGGTGTCCGTTTTGTGAAACAGCACACCGAAGTTACTGTTTTGGCTCTTTTAAGCATAAAAGTGCATGTTTTAACAATTTCGGGAGCCTATTTGTAATCCAAAGACGTCCTAATGGCTGATATTCCAGAAGAAAAATTAGTGGGAAATGCTAGTATACCTCCACAATATATCCCGGTATCGAGTACCAAATTTGAGGTGGAGAAGTTTGATGGGAAGGGTAATTTTGGCATGTGGAAATGTGAAGTCATGGATATGCTTGTCCAAATGAATTTGGATTTCACTCTAGAAGATAAACCGGAGGATTTGGATGATAAAAGCTGGGAAAGGATAAATCGGTTAGCTTGCAGTTCCATCCGACTTTGTCTTGTAAAGGATCAGAAGTACGCCTTTTCAGAACAAAACTCTGCAAAGGAATTATGGCAAGCACTGGAGGACAAGTTTATGAAGAAGAGTATAGAGAATCGTCTCTACTTGAAGAAAAGGATCTTCCGCTTTCAGCACAAGAAAGGTACTTCTATGAATGAGCATCTGAATGATTTCAATAAAATGATAGCTGATTTGAAGAATTTAGATGTGGAAATTGATGATGAAGATAAAGCTCTGCTGTTATTGAATTCACTGCCTGACACATATGAACATCTCGTCACCACTTTACTGTATGGTAAAGAAAAGATTAAATTCATTGATGTGTCCAATGCTTTGGTGAACAATGAGTACCGGAAGAAGGATCAGATTGTTCACAAAGAGTCAACGTCAGAAGCATTGACAGTTACAGGCAGAACAAACCCTAGAAGATTTCGAGGGCGAGGGAGATCTCGCTCAAAATCCAGAGGAGAATCATCAAACAGACGATATCTTGCAAAGGATGAGTGTGCCTTTTGTCATAAAAAGGGGCACTGGAAGAAAGATTGTCCGATCAAGGGCAATAAGGAAAAAGATGAACCAACTGTGAACGTTGCACGAGATGAGGATGAACGAGACTCTGCATTCATGGTCTCATCACCAGAAAACCATTCTGGTGAATGGATTCTTGATTCTGCATGTTCCTATCACATGTGCCCTAACAAGCACTTATTCTCGAGACTCGAGGAGTTCGATAGAGGAGTTGTGTTGATGGGTAATGATGATGTTTGTGAGATCAAAGGGATTGGGACTATCCATCTGAAGATGCATAATGGGGTAGTCAAGACACTGACAGAGGTACGGTATGTACCTGACCTGAAGAAAAATCTCTTCTCACTTGGAGTCCTAGAATCCAATGGTTATAAGATTATCATGCATGGTGGAGTCCTGAGAGCAATCCGTGGTGCATTAGTTGTCTTAAGAGGCACGAGGAAAGGAAACTTATATTTCCTGGATGGATCTACTGTTACCGGTACAGCAGCTGTTTCCAAAAGCATAGAAGATGATGAAGCAGATAATTCCAGACTTTGGCACATGCGTTTAGGGCATGCTGGTGAAAAGGCTTTGCAAGGATTGGTCAAGCAAGGTCTATTAAAAGGCGCCAAGACTGGGAAGCATGGGTTCTGTGAGCATTGTGTTCTTGGAAAACAGACAAGAGTCAAGTTTGGCACTGCGGTACACAATACAAAAGGGATTCTTGATTATGTTCATACAGACGTATGGGGACCTTCAAAGAATGAATCTCTTGGAGGTAATCGTTGGTTTGTTACTTTTATTGATGATTTCTCAAGACGAGTATGGGTGTACATGATGAAACACAAGGATGAGGTCCTTGATATCTTTCTGAAATGGAAGAAAATGGTGGAGACTCAAACGGGAAGGAGAGTTAAGACTCTTCGGTCAGATAATGGTGGTGAGTACACTTCAGATCCTTTCTTTAAAGTTTGCCAGGATGAAGGGATCAAACGACATTTTACTGTGCGTAAAACACCACAACAAAATGGAGTAGCAGAACGCATGAATCGCACATTGGTAGAGAAAGTCCGATGTATGCTATCACATTCAGGACTAAGCAAAGTGTTCTGGGGCGAGGCATTAAGCTATGCTCGTCATATTGTTAACCGGTTACCTTCAGCAGCATTAAATGGAAGAACCCCTTTAGAGGTATGGTCAGGCTCTCCTGCAAATGATTATGACTCTATGCGTATATTTGGTTGCTCAGCATATTATCATGTTACTGAGTCCAAGCTAGATCCTAGAGCCAAAAAAGCTATATTTTTGGGCTTTAGTGGAGGAGTAAAAGGTTACAGACTCTGGTGTTCTGAATCAAAGAAAGTGATTTTGAGTAGAGATGTCACTTTTGATGAGTCTGGCATGTTACAACAAGAGAAATCACAGGAGAAGGAAAAACAGTCCGGTGATGCACAACAGGTGGAGTTGGAGACTTCAGTCATTCCTATAAAGACTGTTCAGAAAATCTCTACTGAAGGAGATTCAGATGAAAGTTCAGATGAAGAGGATGCAACAACTTCAGCAACCACACAACAAGAATCCATTGCAACGAGTAAACCGAAAAGAGTTATCAAGAAACCTGCTCGGTATTGTAACATGGTGGCTTATGCACTTCCGGTGATTGATGACGGAATCCCCTGCACCTACAAAGAAGCAGTACAGAGTGTAGAAAGTGCAAAATGGAAAGAGGCAATGGATGAAGAGATGAAATCTCTCCACAAGAATCAGACTTGGGATTTG